GGGGCGGAGTTATCTTTTCACGGGGGGGTTAAGATACACTTTAAGGATGGAGGGTGGAGGTGTGTGTGCAAAATCGACTTCTTTGAGCTTTATATTGAGTTACATTGTCATTCCTTCACAATCTAATATCTACAAACTGTTATCACATATTGCAGGTTTTCTTGATATCATGCAGCCCTAATACTCACGAGTGTTGCTTCGACTCATTCACGCATGTTTGAGAAATCCTTGAATTTCCTGTGGTAACATGTAGAGCTGCCCAAAGCACTGGTACAAAGCACCGCCTTTTTACCCAAAGCTCCTCCCTGGACCTCAGCCCCAAGCTGGTGGAACTGCACATCTGTTGAGCTTGTAATACTAACTACTTTTCAGTCTAGTTCTTTTCAGATTTAAAAATGCCTTCTTGAGGAGGAGAAATATTTTTCACAAATCATTTTGATTTCATTGCAAAATACCTCCTGTACTCGCTCCGGTTCTTAACAAAACGTAGTTTCAGGTTCCGACGTGGGATCATTCGAGTCAGATTCAACTGGATCCTGAGTTCCCATTTTCCAAAATCGATATTGTATGTTTTTTACGACAAAATACAATGCTTCTACGAAAGGTTGTAAACGGCATGAAGCATTGTTGTGATGACGTGCTGAAGTGGGTGTGTTGGAAATGGTAGGAGGTTCTTCTTGAGACAGAGGCCAATTTCAAGGCGTCTAGAAAGGCTATACATATAACTTTTTGAGAACAACTTAGGTAACAGTTACTTGATTGTCGTATAGAACTGAACTGTGCGCCTGAATAATACATACACCCTCCCCACTTTAAACACTTAAACCAAAAAGGTTGTGTTGCTCCTACACACACACAGAATCCGTACATTAAACTTGTTCCTGTCTCCTTTCTGCAGAAGCACATGCTGAAGGAAGGGAAAGGCCGCATGCTGCAGGCCATCAGCCCCCGGCAGAGCCCCAACAGCAGCCCCACCCGCGAGGAGCGCTCGCCCTCTCCCACTTTCCGACTCCCTTTCTTCTCCAAGACCTCCCCTCCGTCGTCTCCCCCACACCACAGCGGCGCGCGGGCATATCTCATCAGCGAGGACGACGATGAAGACGACGACGAAGATGATGATGATGATGATGATGATGAAAACTAAACCAAGTTTTAAATTTGTCGTCGTTCCGGCCACAGATAGCACTAAGAGAGCCGCCAAGCTGTGTGGCTTTCACCGAGCTCCAAGCTGCAACAATTTTTTTATTTTTAGTTTGTTTTTACTTTTAGCACAGCAGTCTCATGGTAACTATAAGAGCCAGGCTCTCCACAGCTCTCGTTTTTAATAGTGACGTATCATCGTTTTCATGTCACGGTCAGTATAAGTTACCACTAGTCATAGTCATCATATTTAGTTCATGTATCTGTCACGGTTTGTTTTGCCACTCACTGTCACTTGGGGATATTTTCAGGTGTTTCACTCAGTGCACTGTTCCTTCTGACTGTATTCTGTCTGCATTATGGTGCAGCAGGAGGGGGCTTGTTGGGTTGTTTGGATCTGGGGACAGCTGAGCTGAGGAATCATGAGGATAAAACACATTTTATTTAAAAGATTGTCATAGCAGGTCACAAAAACTGAACTGTATAAAAGATCTGCTCATGTATCTGTATTCTGCTTAATGTGAACCCAGCTATGCCTTTTTTTAACTCTAGGAAAAATCTCCAGCTTTTATCTGATGAACAGAATCTGAAAATAGGTGTTGACTAAACAGCAGACTTTGTTTCCTGAGTTTCTCTGCCTGCATCGGGACTGTCTGTGTATCTGCATGTGTGCAAGATTTGAGTCAGCATGTTTAAAAATGCCTCCTGTCAACAGGTTTTCACCTGTTGGATTCAGATTTTAATTTACTGCTTATATAGGAATACATTTGTTTTTAATTACTGACAAGAATCAAGTCTTTGAAAGACTAGTTTCAAACTAGACGCCTTTTTAGTGGCCTACAAAGAACAGATGTTGGACTAAAAAAAAAAAAAAAAAAAAACTAATTTTTGCAGTTTTTTCATCCCAGTAAAGTTTTGAGCAGAGAATCAATGTAAGCAAGGCATGACTTGTCTTCTTTGTCTGTCCTGTTTTGCAGATCTGGGCCTGTTTGTGATTTAGGTGATTTTTTCTTCTAACAATAGCAACTATGAGATTTTTAATAATCAGAAAAATACTAGTGTTAAGATGTCCTTCCAACTCAGCTTGAGTAAACATTGGCTCTTTCATGAACAAAGCTTCCTCATGGGTAGATGGCAATCCTAAAATATTAAAATAGGACTTTTACAAAAGCAAGCTGTCAATAACTGTTTGAAGGCTTCAGCCTGTGTAGCTACCTCCTATTAAGATTTTCTTTTTTGCCCAAGGTGAGCAACTAGTATGAGGTTTTTACATGTTCAGATTATCAAAGCAGTGGAACTTGCTTAAATACTTGTGATTTTCCGGTTTGTCTTACATCATTGGTGGTAAAGCATGTGTAAACAAGCCACCAGTTTTTGTTTTTGTGATAAAAACACTGTCTCCTGACTAATCTAAATGTCAAATCAGTCTGTTCTAGGCTTGGTTTCCCACAAAAACATTTATTATAATTCGAATGGAAATCAGATTTGGTATAATTTGCAGGAAGTGGGGAGAAATCCAGCCTAGATTCTGGTGCTAAGCTACTTTCAGGAAGCCTCGCCTTGATTCTCACAAACATTCTCCTAATCTGACAATTTCCTCAGCGTGAGCCCACATAACTCAAATGACAACAGCAACTACTACAGAGGCAAAGAAGTGTTACAATTTTAAGTTACTGTTTGGGTTTTGTCTTATGTTCTGGATGCAAACAAAGAATATATAATTAAACTTGTTAACCAAAACTGGTTTCTCGTGTTCTCTTTTACAAACATTCATCTCTTCCTGGAATAAAAGATGAAGTCAAGTTTGGTTACATAGATTTTATTGGACAGAACGGTCACCAGGGCTACAACATGAAGAAGCAGACAGTGGCGAAGCAAACACCAGGGGGAGACCTCACCTCACTGCAAACCCTGCAGACTGATCTTTAAATCCAAAATAGTGTGACAAAGGTAAATCTTAGTGCTTACAAAATATCTGTGGGAATGAGTCACAGTAATCTACTCAGTAATGGGCTAATCTCAAACTGCCGGACATAACTTCCACTAAAAGCAGAGGGAAAAAGGGGGGAGGGTGGTGTGGTGGAGGTGTAGTGGACAAGTACAAAATCAAACTTGCACAATAAATTCATTTTTCTCAACCATCTAAAACAGACTGCTGGAAATGATTTCACCCTGGAGCGACAAGTATACAAGATCAAATATCAGTCAATTTTTTTTCAGAAGGTAAGACTACTGGGATATATGGAAACTATTGGGACTCGTTTAAAATCACAACAGTGATAAAGCATCTCACCAAGGTGAACCGACACGGGACTGTTTGTGGAGAAAACAGGAACAATAACACTGAATAAACTAAGCCTCCTGTCCTCTCCCCCGGAGCCCCCAGCATCACATGTCCATTTCTATCAGACATCAGATGTACAAATTTACTCATCACTACTAGATATATACGATATAATGCTTCACATTTTGCATATATCTGAATTACACCATAACTCTTGTTTTTTTTAATCATTTTCTGAAACGATGTAAATTCAATCTCCAACATCTAGTTAAGAAGGGATTACAGGGGTGGGAGAGAAGTGATACAGATCGCGGGAAGAATAAAGACGACGAGGGAGGAGGAGGAAAGAAGAAAAAAATTCTTAACGGGATAGATAGGGAGGTGGTCAGTTTGCTGCCTGGTGGTGGTGGTGGGGGGGTTGGACTTCAGCAGCGCGTTTCGTAGATGCCGGAGCGGCCGATGTAGCGCACCCATTTGATCACGTCGTGGTCACTGTAGTTGAGCTTGGACTCGAACACCTTCAAGTAGCGCACCTTCAGGCCGGAGGGAGCAAAAGGAACCTGCAGAGACGAGGAGGAAGTGGAAGTGGGAACAGGCTGAGACATGTAGGCCACACAGACGGCAGTTCATGTTTGTTTATTTTTTATTTAATTATGGGTTGTGTGCAGGAGGTTTTAGGGTGTGTATGAGAAAATAGTAAGCAGCTCAAGATTTGCTTAAGGAACACAGAGATTTTATTTAATTCAGAGTTCATTTGCTTGGTCAAATGCTGTTCCATCATATCTGCATACCTTTTATGCAACAGTGATAATACTAAATTTTAATACGTGTGATGAGTTGGCTTTAATTTATGCCTGAAAAATCAATATCAAAGATGTTTCAGACTGAGTGTGTCCTTACCTCAAAGTTCATAGAGATTGGAGGCCGGGCCCATTTCTTCTTATCGTTGGTGGGCAGCAGCTCGATCTCAGCGCTGATCTGGGACTCCTTCATCCCTGCCATCCGTTTGATCCTGCAAAAGATAAAGACACAAAACTTGTATTTCATGTTTGCATTCACAGAGACACAAACTGTCTCACACAAAGTGAAACTACACAGCAGTGAGGTTAGGTGAAGATAAAACAAAGCTCCACAGCAAAACATTTCATTACAGCTTCAACTCACTTCCAGACGATGGCGTTCTCACTGGCCTTGTATTTGGCTTTTCCCTTCATGCAAATCACCTGCACACCGCTGGTGTTGAGTGGGGTTGGAATTCGCACCTGAGGACAGAAGTTTCCAAAACCGTTCAGTAATGGAGTCAGATCTTACACACGCCAGATGAATTAACTAAAACCAAAAGTGACAGGCAGTGATTTTAAAATAGTCAAAGTCTGGTAAAATGATTGGTTGGAAAATTCATGCAACTATGGCAAGTATTATTTTCCTCTCAGCAGCACCTGGTGGTAAAATAAATAAATAAAATAAAATAAAATAAAATAAATAAAATATGAGAAGAGAGGGAAGAATTTTTTAATACATTTTTTGCAACCCCATTATGTTTCTGCCACTGAACTGATAAAAATGAAGGAACAGAAAGATCCATGTCTCTGTACCTGAAGCTTTATTTCATTACATGTTTTTTTCAGCTGCAGGGCTCGGGCCAAGTTAATTTTAACTCATCAGAAACACATGTCTAACAATCAGTCTAACAAATGATATAAATCAGTGGGTTATGTACAGTGTGTTGTTTTTCATGAGGAAATAAAATAACCAGTACGACAGGCTTAAAGTTGACAAGAGCTGACCTCAATCTTCTGAGCCAGCAGGGAGGGTTTGAAGTTGGACTTGATGACCACTTTAACCTCCAGTTTGGTGCGACCCACCTCCCTGACCAGAGGAATGACTCTGAATGGCAGGATGATGTCCTTAGTGGTACGATATCTAAAAAAAAAAAAAAAAAAAAAAAAAAAAAAAAAAAAAAAAAGTTTAATGAGAAAAACTGTTAAAGTTGCATAAAGCAAAACTTAAGTTAGTTTTGCAAACATCATGTCTCAACAGCTGTTCATTCTGATGAGTATTCTGTTTGCAGTTAAACAAGGACGCTTAAATTTTCAGCTACTAATTTTAGTATTTACAAAAAATAGTCATAAATTACTGACCTCATGAGCTCATACTCGCCATCAGGTGGGATGAAGCTGATGCTTCGCTCAGAATCAAACTTACTAAGACGCACACACTGGTGGAACGTGCAGTCATCGATGGCTATGGACTGCTTCCCACTGACATGACAGAAAAACAAACACTCTGGTCAACTAACTTATAAATTATATTTTTATTTTAAAGTTTGTCATTATAATGCAGTCTCAAAACAGAAAAAAAAAAGTTTATTTTCTTCCTAAATGACCAGAAATGAAAAACACACAGCCCATAAAAAGGAAGCAGTCACTGGCACAGAACATTTGATCCTGGTTGAGGTTAGCATTAATATTCTGTAATTAGACAATAAAAAAAGTGACCAGTGATGGGAAAATGAGTCAGAATGAGCTCAGACTGGAGTGCAAGAAAACAAAAACCTGATCTGTTTTTGCCCCAATTGAGATTTGTTATAAATTCCATCCAGCAATCCCAGTTACTAAAATATTATATAATCTACCCATCTACCTAATCTAGTTTTTTTTTTAGTTTTCTTCATTTCATCTTTATACACAACAAAAATGAGCTAAATTATTGATTAATTTATCTCAAAAATGATAAACTGATCTAAGTTTGCTGTCATTGTGAAGCTCGGTGATTCCTCTTTTTATTTAAGACTGGAATTCCTGCTAAAATCTTATTTGACTAATAAAATTATTTAAGTGCCCAAAAAGGCACTCTAAGTAAACAAAACTAGCTTGTTGCTAACCTGGTGATAAATTTCAAACTTTGCATCATTTTCAAGCTTTTGAGGTGGATAATTTGAAAATAAAATCATTGTGACTCATTTTGTCAGCACAGGTGATAAATGAGCCGTTTAGATGTTTGGGCAAAATGTAAAACGTCAAGCAGGTCAGTTTGGACTTAAAAAAACAACAAAAACAACAAACAAAAAGGAAACAACCACAAAAC